AGAATTCCATTTATTTTAAAGCAGAACCGAGATCTTCATTAGAGTTGAGAGTTTAGGGGATCTCCGAGAACATCAAGACAGATAAGAGAATTAAAGGGCAGATCAAAAAATTTCTAGGAAATTGCAGAAACCGAAATTTCCGGAAAGTTCTGTTTGCTCAGAGAAAATGTCTGGAACGCAATAAAAATTATATGAACATCCGGAAAATGTGAGAGTATTTTAAGGGTGTTATATCATGGAAATTTCAAGATCTAAAAAAATTCGAAAATTTACGTAAGTTGATTAGAGAACATCAACGAAGTTCCATTAATTAAATAGAGGCGAGAACTTTTAGTAAGGACCGATAGTTCAAAAAATTTAGATATTTTAAGATTGTTTCATTATATTTAGTGAAGCTCCGAGTACTTCGAGGACGATCAGATAACAACAGAAATATCACTTTAACTTAAGGAAATTCGCATCGACTTACAAGGAATTCCTTAGAATAATGGGATATTCCGAGAATTCTATGATTGATCCGAAAACTTTAGAAGCTTCAGGGAATCATAACATATGTATATATATCAGCAAATTCACCGCAACATTTGATCAATTTAGAGAAATTAAGGTAAACATAGAAAACTGCTGGGATGTCCAGGCTTTCCAGGGAAAATTGGTGATTTAAAGCAAAGTTTCATGAGCGTTTATAAACTTTATAAAATTTAAGGAAAATTGCAGAACTTTAAGGCAAATAAATCAATTCCAGTAAAATGGTGGGTTCTTTTAAAATAAATACTTAGATATTCAAGGAAATCTAGAGAATTTTTAGGAAATTGAGAAATATTTTGGGCAGTTTCAAAAACATCAGGAAACTCTAGACTATTGAAGAAGTTATGAATTAGTTTCGATAATTTGAACTTCAGGCAAACCTTGAGAACTTCAGTGAAAATCATAGAACTATTTTAATTATTTCGCTGCGGTAGCTTCAAGAAGTTCCTGAAATTTCAGAATAACTTCGAAAGCTTCACAGAAGTACAGAGATTTTCAGAAACATTTCGAGAACTTCATAAAAGTCTATGGAACTTAAGGGAAGATCCGAGAACTTCGGGAACTTTTATGGACCTTTCGGGAGCATCTCAAATAAGTTTAGTAAAACTCCAAAAACAAAGGGAATTTCAGGGGAGTTCAGTTCCATTAGTTTAACTGAATTAGCGGGAAATTTCAAGAAGTTCTCAGATTTTCAGAGAACTTTAGAGATGTTAAGAAAAATATCGAGGGTTTCACATAAGTCCAGAAGTTCACGCAAGCTTAAACATTTTTAAAACAGTTCAATTAAATGGATATGGTAGTACAACAAGCTTTATGGGAACTGCAAACACTTAAGAGAAGTTTCGAGAACTTCGAGAAATAAATAAATAAAGCTCTAAGCAAAAAATACTTCAAGAAAGAACAGATATAACAGCAGAGATATTCCAGAGCAGGTAAATTACATAAATAAATAAAAATCGAGAGATGCAGTGTTTTTTAACACTTTAGAGAAGATTCATGATTGTTAGGAGAATTGTGGAAACTTTAGAAAGTCCGAATAAGTTGAGAGAAGTTAAAAAATTGATGAGAAGTATTGCGACAATCAGGCTTGTTTCTCAAACTACAAAAGAACTTCAAGGCAATTTAATCAACTTCAGCAATATTTTGGGAATTTTCAAGTAGTTCTGAGGACCTCAGAAAAGTCCATTCCATATTCAACGGAGATTTCTCATGAAAATCTCATGAAGTCTAAAATTCCTCAAAACTACTATGAAAGTAGATTGCAGTTGATGTTTTTCTCATAGACTTTTTTCCCAGAACTCCCGTGGAATGAGGTCCTTAGAAATTATTGTAAAATTCCATGAGCCTCAAAACTGTGCAAGGAATTTTAATCCAGATTCTTGAAAATTTCTTGAAGTGTTATAACTATTCAGTTTTTAATTTATAATATTTGTGGGAAATATGCAAATTCTAGAACAAAAAAAAAAATCAAAAAATCAGCCTCTGAATTTTAAATATATACTTGTTACTGAAGATAAATTCATTCTGGATCTACAAAGTTCAATGTGTGAATGAAAATAATTAGGAATAATAAATGTTTTTATTTAAAAATGCATTCTTTGTAAGACAATTATTAAATTCCCTGAATAATGATAAGATCAGGGAGTCTTCCAGGTATTTTCAGGAAAAATAAAATTCCCTGAGAATTTCCGGTTTTTCAGGTTTTTCCAAGTAGTAGAAGCTTGGAGGTTTAGTCATAAACTTTCTATTGAATCTTTCGCTTTAAAGGTCCCTATCGTTTCTATTTAAGTGTTTATGAGAATCTAATTGAATAAGTCAAAAACATCAAACAATTTTACCTACACGGAGAGAACAGTATGGTAAAAACAACCAAATTTTTAGTTGATTCAACCATATTAACGTATTGAAATTCGCACAAACATATTCATGGTTTACTCCAATAAATGAGGGGGTTAGAAGGAAAGAGGTGTTAGTAATTAATAATTCAGCTGAAAACACATTTCTTGATTCGTGTGCCATTCTGGATGCTAGATGAGAACCTCCTCTATCAAACTATGTTGCAGAAATAGCGCAAAATCTGTTTATTAAGCTGGCTATCAAAAGAGAAAGTCGATGAAGTGAATCGATCAAAGTCACTTACACCCCTTTCCTTCTAACCCCCTCATTTGTTGAAGTAAACCATGAATATGTTTGTTTGAATGTTTGAAATTAACTAAAATGCTACGTTGTTTTTGTTTCACTGTTCATTCTCAATTCAACAAATTTATTTATTGGAAATATTCATAATGTTGATTGTCGTAGATAAATTCAAACAAGTATAGTTTGTTTCATTCAAAAGATAGTTTAAATCAACTATCTTTTTGCTTAAAATAAATAACGAAGTACTAGAAATAACCATCATTTTTATTGAATTGACCAACATATTTGTTGAAATTAAATAAGGAATTTAACTGCAGTTTTATATTTGCAACAAAAATTAAATTACGCTAGAAATTACCAGCATTGTAATATCACCAAGGGTTTTATTAGTACGATGCTATGTTGATGATGTTTCTCATGTTGATATTTAAAATTATCTAGACTCTGGGATTGGAAAACCATGATTTCGGAACTGAGTCTGAAAACATGTTGGGAGAAGTAATGGATTATGGATTGTTCTGGTTGTTAGTTGTTTGAGTTTCCGAGCTCGGATGCCGAGAAAGAAACGACTACCGGGACCGGAGCTTCCAATGCAACGATGCCGAACAGCAGCAACCTTCTTGAAACTAGATCTGTCCCTTCTGGAGAAGAACCAACAGCAGCTGATGCAGCAGAAGCTTTCGGCGAAGCTCTATCCACTACTTCCAGTTCAGTTAGCTGTACAACAGTCGGTTCAGCTTCCCGGGCACACCATTCCCACTACATTCGCTGTTCCTGCAGAACTCGCTAATGTGCGCTTCGGGAGCCCCAGTGTCCTGAAAAACTTCTTCCCCAAAGAGTTTCCATCATGTTGCCAAAGATGTCCAATGGAAGCCTTATCAGAAACAGGATCCCTTCAACTCGCAGCAGCAACATTCCCAGCAACTTCCGTCGATTACTCTGTCTACAAATGCCAATCACCAGTCACCGGTAGCTTCGAAAAATACTCAACCATTAAAAAAATTCCCACTTTCTTGCCTTGAAACAAATGTAATGTAAAATATAGCTTTGTCATCAACTACTTTTAAGGTTGTTATTCACCCAAACAATATTTTAGATTGTTTTATCCTAAAAGTCAAGTTGATTCAACCTAAGGCTTTAATTAGGTTTTATTTAGAATGAACCGTTTCTAACAACTCAAATTTTGTTGATAACATTTTTTATTGTTTTTTGTACAACCTTAAACTATCGGTTAAATCAACCAAAATTCATTTTGTAGCAATATGATGTTATGGGTTGAATCCAGCTAAAAAAGTCATTTGCTTCAAACAAAATTGCGGATTTAAAACAACCAATTTATCTCAAATTATTCCCCAAAATTATCTAGATTACTTGGAATTTCTCATTTTACAAGAAAAGCATTTTTTGTTCTCATGTCTGCGTCGTTGAAATGATAAAAAACCCCATTTAGTTGATGATATTCCTAACGAGCTTCTCCCACAGATGTCCAATTTTTTAGGCATACTTCTTGAGCCTAGTTGCTTATACTAAAGTTAGATTGATTAATAAGTCTTAAAAGCCCTCCAGGAACTAAATCCAAGCCAGCAACAATTATTTCTCATCCATCCAAAAAAAACACTCCCAAACAATCAAAACAGAAACCCATCCTTCAACGAACCCCAATTATCCGAAGTTGCATCAAGACATTTGAAACGAAACGAACGCCAACTGGTGCTGCAAACAACACACTTGTCACAACCATTCTTCCTTCTGCCACAACGCAACAACCGACGCGCTGATAATGATTACTGCTAATTAGTATTCACCTCCAGTCGCCATCCGATTTCCGTTAAAACACGGCTCTCGCTCAACCATCGGCACCACCACCACATTGCACAGCACAACCAACAGAGCTGCTTGTAATCGCTGTAATATGCGCCTCCTTATGGCACACTACAACAACCCGGCCGTCGTTGTTGTCTGGAAACAGTTTTTCCTCGTGTCGCGTTTCAGTTCGTTTTTTTTTTGCGAATCCAAATGAAAATTAAACAATTTCTTTCACCGAGATTTCTCTGCCATTAAGAAAGCAATGAAATGAGGAAACATGATTGCAGATCCCACTAATTAGCATATACAACCGTATTGCGTTCAGTTTTATGCGATTTTAATTGTTCTATTTATTTGCTAAATCTGGGTGAGGTGTATTGTGTAAGGTCGCCATCGTAGTCGTCATTGTCTCGATTCCGTCTGATGGTTCATTATAATGTGGACACATGATCCCTCCTGCAGGTGGAAACAAGGAGATGCTAATCTGACCGTAATTATTAAATCACTGTATTGTTCTTGTGTTGCAGATTCAAATCAGGGATCATCAGAAGAACAACCTCGTGAGAGTGAGTGAGTGAGTTCAACAAATGTGCTCCTGCCTCTGGAAGACCTCGATCGAGCAAACCACCCGAGCAAGAAAAAAAGTGTTAAAATTAATCATTTCACATTAGGCGCAACAAAAAGTTTTAACAGTGCTTCATTAATCAACGAAATAATATAGAGTTGTGAGAACACGCGTGATTCGCTCGCTGCATTTAGTGAACCCGTCAGCGCGCCCAGAGCAGACAGAAGGAGAGCAAGTGGGAAAAACCGTCAAGAAAAACGAGCAGAAATTAACGAACCGCCGAGAACTCACCCTACCACCATCATCATGCCCGCAGAAGCAACAGCAGCCGTAGCAGTGATCCGCTCCGCTCGTCATCGTCGCATGGGAGAACGCGGAGAGGCGATTTAAAATTTTAAATCAGAACTCGTTTTTCAAACTAATATTTGTTTTATGGATCCTCCGTTCCCGGGGCGAGAAGCTTATGAGTGTGCAGAAAAGTGTGAATAAATAAAACTGCCAACGGTTGAAGGTTTTGAGTGATTTGAAGACCACTTTAAGTGACAGCTCGGTGTGTTGTGCGAAGAGAGCGAGCGATTGAGGCACTAGCAGGACCTCAGAAGCGGCAAGTAATTAGTGCGGACCCAGTTTCAGCGAGGGCTTGCTGCTGAAAAAGGGCGTATCAGAGAGCCAACCTGCAACCAACTGAAGCTTACCGGGCTCAGTTTGGTTGCTCGGTTTCGTTCAGTTCGCGACAATGGCAGTGTCCTGCCCGGAAGTTATGTACGGAGCATACTATCCATACCTGTACGGCCGCGCCGGACCCAGTCGACCCTTCTACCAGTATGAGCGGGTGAGTTACTGTGACTTATGACGATGAGGTTTTTTGACAATGGTGCTATTTTCAAGTTGCAAGATACAGACATTTACCGAAATAAACATTGATTTTCATGCATAGCTGTGCCTCAGCATATTTTGTTCAGTGATCATTCGCTGGTTAGTAGGCATCGTCATCCCATTCATCGAATGCTATTTGACAGTTGGGACGGGATTTACATACAAAGTAGAGTCGGTGTATAATGAGTCACGCCAAGAGAAAAACAGTTGAACTCGCATCACGGTTTTCGAAAGATTCCCATTCTTTTCACTTGGCAACAGAGGACTTCTACAACAACTTCAAATGACTTCTAGCGAGAGAAAATATATTGCGGCTGTAGTAAATCATTATATCAGTGATTTTGTCAAATAATCTTAACAAAAAATAGTAGAAATTCTCATTACTAATCATTACAGAGCGTATCCCATGACAATTTAACGCTCACTGCTTGTTTATGCTCATTTCTTCGATTATATTTCATATTTTATTGCAATACCTTTCGTGGACCTTTCATAGCATCGTAATGTTTATTTACTTTGCACGATAGGTAGCCGTTTTGACAGTTCAATAGGTAGACTTGGCTTCACTCTTGGCGTGACTCATTATACACCGACTCTAATACAAAGCAGCTCACTACACGCTATTTCAAAACTACCCACATTTTAGTAGGATCCACCCAGATCGGTCAATATTGAACCTATCCAAAAATGGGTAAACTATGTTGAGGGTGACAAGTCGACAAATGACAAATGATCGATCGGATTCAGATGGTATAGTACCCAACAAACAATCTTAGCTCCAGACTAGCTTGTACTGGTAAAACAATTAGTTTAAGGCTGTAAAAGCTAATCTGCTGCTAATATTGTTAGTTGGGTAGTAGGGTTGGCTTAGAAAACATCAAGTTTAGAATTCTTTCACGCGGCGCTAGTGTGTAAGTGGATTTCTTGTATATGCTATATCTTGAAAATCTGGCCAACTAGATAGATGCTGATTTAGTAAAGTTGTCCATAAAATGAACACTGGAAATGAAACTAACTCATAGAGTGAGTAACTTTTACTCAGTAAAAGTTAAAGTGTCTCACTAATTCGTATGGAGAAATTTCTAAAAGCGTAGGTCACTCATTACATGAGTAAAGCTGTTAGCTGTTAGAAATGTCTCCATACGAATGAGGTAAAGGGACTAACTCTCTGAGTAAGATTCGATTTCAGTGAAGGTTTTCCGGATAAGGGATAATTTAGTTTCGCATTATCTCACTACGCGGCGCTAGTGTAGTTTTAAACTTCCTGTACATGTAGTATCTCAAACACCTGATCATCTAAAAAGATACTGGCTTCGGCAAAGTTTTTCAGCAGGTCAAGGCCTTCCGGATGAAGAGTTAAGTGGTGCTTAACTATGTCCATTCGGTTCGACAAAATGCTTCAGATATCTTACAATATGGGTATTTTTGGAACGGGCAGCACGAAAAGATGCCAGCAATCGATGAGATGTTATCTAGTGGTTTTTCGGATACTGGAAGTAGCCATCCTGGATTCCAAAATGTTTTTTTTATTATTAATTTATTTGATATTTAAGGCTCAACCGAATTAACTTTACAGACCCGAAGATTCTTGTTCAGTATACAATACATCTTAAAACTATAGTCAAAAAGTACAACACAATAAACATTTTATCTTCCGCTATCCAATAAGCCTCCTCCACCAGAACGGGAGCCGCTTCCAGTGGTTTCATTGTATGGCAGATTCGCCAACGGGAGTCAGAGCGCTTCCATTGCAGCAATGGACGCAAAATGTGGTCAGCACTCACACATTCATCACGAAACGGTTGCTTTCCAAAATCGACGACGCATTGAATGAAAGAACTGCTGATGAAGAACAATGAGGAGGACCAAACAATTGTTGCTTCCGAGTAAACAGACGATCGCGTGACACACATTGCGAGTGGTCTGCTTCTGTCGACAGCCGAGTGAACACTGGATTCCAAAATGGTGTCAGACATAGATTTCGGGTTTCTGTATGTGATCCTCATTCCAAAAATACCCATATAAAGACTGGACTCGGAAAAAATGCGACACTTTGGGTGTAACTTTTTATCGCGATCTGTCAAGTAGTTTTCAAGATGTATTCGAAACAAGAAGAGCTACGTTAGCAAATCTTGGGCTCGGTAATCGATAATCCTGGTCAGTCGCACAGATGGATCGGTAAAAGGCTTGTAATCCACCATTCCACCGTGTCCCGCGTTGTGAAGATGTTCCAGGAGACGAAGACCATCGAGCGGCGCGCTGGAAGCGGCCGAAAACCGAAAACGGAATACCCAGAGAAGGCGCGGAAGATAAGGCAGTACTTTAAGAATAACCCGAACCTTTCCACCCGAGACGTGGCCAAAAAGGTCAATTCGTCGAAGTGGTTCGTCCAGCAGACCATGAAGCGGGCTGGGCTACGTGTTTTTAAGGTCAGGAAGGCGCCAAACCGGACTGACACGGTGGCCAAATTGCGTGCGCGGAAGCTGTACCGTGAGTGGCTGGTCAAGCCAGGCTGTCTCGTCATGGATGACGAGACATATTATCAAGGCGTACACCAAACAAATCCCCGGCCTCGAGTTTTTTGTCGGTACGTCCCGCATGGAGGTTCCGAAAAAGTTCCGGAAGAGAAAGATGGACAAATTCGCGAAGAGATACCTGTAGTGGCAGGCGATCTGCGAGTGCGGACGGTACAGCAAGCCGTTCGTTACAATCGGCACCATAAACGGGCAGATTTATCGAAAGGAATGCTTGCAGAAGCGCTTGCTGCCCTTCCTCCGCTCTCACCGTGGTCCCACGCAGTTCTGGCCGGATATCGCTTCGTGCCATTACGCCAAGCCTGTAATGGATTGGTACGAAGCGAAGGGCGTTAATGTGGTCCCGAAGGAGGCGAACCCGCCAAATACACCAGAACTTCGTCCGATCGAAAAGTTTTGGGCGATAATTAAGAAGAAGTTGAAGAAAAGCGGAAAAACATTCAAAACCGATGAAGCTTTGAAGAAAAACTGGGAGAAATTGTGTAAGGAAGATGGGCAAAGCCTCACCCAAGATCTCATGAGCAGTGTTAAGAGAAATGTACGAGCATTCAGCTTGGGGGAGGAAATTCAATAAATAAATTATGCCAAAACATAGCTAATATATACACACTACTAAAAAGTCATGTAAATTTCGGTTACCTGAGACCGACACATGTAAGCGGGCCTTTTGACATAAGAATCAGTTGAAAGAAACGTGAAAATCAATTCAATAAAACGTTTTCTTCGTCGACTAGCTGATGTTTCGGTTTGAGAACACTTAATTTTACATGACATGTTTGTTTACATTCTATAATTTACGTCCAATATGAATTACGTCTCGTGTAAAAATAGTTATTTCTAAGTGTGTAGTTATTTAATCCCTGAAAATTTGAGAAGTATCCGATTTAAAATGAATTTTTGGTGATCACTTTTGTGTGTCTCATTGTGAGACATTGGACATCGATATCCGGTTTCAGCACGTCTTCCCATTACGATAATGAAATACGCAGCTACATTGGCGTCATGTAGTGAGGGAACCACTCACCGAACAATTTTACCCAAGACCTAGACAATTTTACCCCTTTGTAGATGGCCAGGATCTTGAGATACAACATGCTCAGGTAGATTAAACGTTCACTAGCGCCATATAGTGAGTGAATATCAAGCTCCACTATCCGGAAAGCCTTAATTTCTCGAATAACTTTGTCGAAGACAGCAGCCGGCGAAACATTGAATTTAGAAAAAATGGAGACCCTTAACAAAGGTTACCAAATTTCAGGAAAGTTCAAAGATTTTTGGGGAAGTTACGTGAACTTTTGAACAATTCTGAGAACTTCAGTATAGTTTCATGAATATCAGAAAAATGCGGGAACTTCATGGAATTTCCGAAAAGGTCAGATAAATTTAAAGAACTTTGCTACTTTTTTGTTATTAATTTAAGCGGGAACCATCAAGAAGTTCCGAATATTTCAGGAAAGTTCAGAGATATTCAGAACAGTAACATCAATCTCAGGGTTATTTCAGGAACAATATCAGGAATTATTTGAGAACTTCAGGAAAGATTAGAGAACTTCAGGGCTGTTGTACTTCATGAAACTTTAAGGAGCTTTAAAGTAGTTGCGAAAAATTAATGGTAGTTTCGAGAATATCTGGGAAGTTTCTTCTTGTAGACAGCGGTAACATAACAGACTTTTGAGAATGTTTAGGGGTCTTCTAGAAACCTTCAAGCACTAAAAAAAAATTCTAAGAATTTTCAAGAAGTCATAAAAACTTCAGAGAATTGTATAACCTTTACAGAAGTTCCAAGTAGCTCAGCCAAACTAGGTTTAGAGATCATCAGGAAAGCTCAGAGATCTTAAGGGCATATTCATTGTATGTCAAGCATATTGCTTATCGCATATTATCTTATTTCCTGCTCTCAACTGAGAGCTATTAACGCTCTTTCACAGATATCAATTGAGAGTTTTAGATGCCTGTACCATTTTTGCATTAGTGTAATTCTGTGGCAAGTAGAGTCATACTCTATGCCCAGGGAAGTCGAGATATTTTCCAATCCGAAAAATTCCTAAACCGGACCGGGAATTTAACCCACCCACCTCTAGCATGGTCTTGCTTGGTAGCTGCGCTAAAGCCCGATTAAGCTAATAGATTAGATTAGAGTCCTTCAGGGCAGTTCAGTTCAATTATCTTCAATTAAATAATAGGACTTTCAAATAATATCTGATAAACTCTGGAAATTTTTGAACACTTAAGCAAAGTTTCGAGAGGAAAGTTACGGAATTTTCAGGAATGTTTCATGAATTTTGGGTATATTCGGTAGCATTTTTAGTTTTAGCAGTTTCAAGAACTTTAGATTTTTTTTGGAAATATTAGCGTAGATCAGAAAACCTTAAAGAACTTCCTGGATCCTTAGGGGAGTCCAAAGAACTTCAGAAAAGTTTAA